GGGCACGGCAGCGCACAGTGGGCCAGAAGACCGGTGGAGGTGGCCAAAATTCGAGACGCGTTTTGAGCTCCTGAGTCGCTAAATGGGACTCGGACCGAACGTGTGACCCCACCAATGGATTCCTCGTTCGGAGAGCAATCCATTGCTGGGGTCACTCGTTCGGTTCGAGTCCTGTTTAGCGACTGGCCTTTGGCCACTGGGTTGTCTAGTAGGCAGGCTGAGGTTGGCAACCCTTTCGACACTGAAGGGCACTAGGGGCAACAATGGTCCAGCCTGCACGTGCACGGCAGAGGCGCGTGGCGTTTTCTGACCGCTTTCTGGCCAGATGACGGGGGTGTGTTCAGCACCACCTTGTGCTGCCACGCTGTTACAGCGAGTAATAGGGGAGGGGGGGGCGATAAAGAGGATATCAAGTAGAGCTGCGCGAAGGGGAGAAGAAGACGAAGAAAGCCAGGGAAGGGTTAGGGGAGGTGGTAACAGCTTGCGTGCGAGAGAGAAAGAGAGAGAGAAGAAAGGCGGGACAGCCCATACGTGTTCAAGCCCTTAACGCCTCAAAATGAAAACCAAGGGTCATATATCATCGGTTTCTTTCTTCAGCACGAACGAAAGTAAAAAGGCCGAGGGAAAACTAATTTCGGTTGTGTTTGAACCCGCGATCTTCGCTCGGTGCGCGTTTCCTTGTCAGAGTAGTGGGTTTGGTGGCGGAGCCGCGACGGGCGAAAAGGGTTGCGGGGCTGTGGCCCACACTGTGGCCCTTTAAAGGTCAAGGAAGGGCGAAGGACGAGCCGCGGGCAGGGCAGGGCGGCTAGGGCCCCAAGGGCGGCCTCAAGACGAAATGAAACCAAAGGGAAACTTTGATAAGGCGGTGGTTCGGTTCGGGGCCTTCCCTTCCACTTCCTTGCCCTGGGTCTTGTGTCCGCCCCGCCTGGCCCCGCCATCCCCGTGTTTCCACTCCGCCATTCCACGCACTGGAAATTTGGAAATCAGTGTGGCGGACTGCAGTGGGCCAGATGACTGGTGGAGGAGGTCAAAATTTTGGATGCGTTTGAGCTCCAGAGCCGCTAAATGAGACTCGAACCGTACGTGTGACCCCACCGATGGATTGCTCTCCGAATGAGGAATCCATTGGTGGGGTCACACGTTCGGACAAAACGTCCGGGATTTTGATCGCCTACACCGGTCTTCTGGCCCACTGTGCGGAGCACTGTGGCCCTACACTGCCGTAAAATGCACATGGCTTACCTATGGCGGCATTAGGACGGGCGTGGCGTGGCAGGCCACCCCAAAGGCGTTTTAGAGTGTAGAGTATAGCACCCTGATTTCCATTTCGGACACCCACCGCCCCGGCCAGCCGGCCAAGCACACACGGCCCATAGCGACCGGCACCGGCCCTGCCCTGGCCCCGTGTGTGTCCGCCGGCACCCCATAACCATAAAGACAATGGGTGCGCTCACACACACACACACACAGTCAAAGAAGCCGGCGGGCCACCTACACCACTTAGTGTCGTCCGTTACAACACATCATTATTGTCGGCACTGCCCGCACTCTGTTCCACTTACGTATTTGTTCCACTTTTGTCCCCTGTCGTCAGAGGGGCCTGTATAGACTGATTCCGAGAGTCGTTTTCGTCGCTCTGTCTCTCGCAGCTGTGCGGGACGCTCCCCATGAGTGCGAGAGAGACAGAGCGACGAGAACGCCCACATCGGACTTGTGCGGGGAACTGTACTTTACCGCGACAGCGCGGGTCCGATTGCAGCACCGCTCGCAGTGTGCAGCGTAGGCACAGCGAGCCGCGCACTGATTCCGAGAATAGTTTTCGTCGCTCTGTCTCTCTCGCACCTATACGGGACGCCCCATGAGTGCGAGAGAGACAGAGCGACGAAAACGACTCTCGGAATCAGTCTGCCGCTCCTCGCGTGGCCGGCTGCTGCTTGCTGCTGCTTCCGCCGCTAGGTGGCGCTGCGAGCCCCGCCGCGCCGGCCGCTCGCGCCCAGAGGATACGGCGTGGATTCATGACCTCGGGCCCCGACGCTCGTCCCGTCGAGTGTGCCGTGTGCGGCAAGAAGTTTTCAATTTTTGTAGCGGGGGAGAGCTATGAGAGGCTCTCCCCTAATAATCGGATCAATTCCTCTGAGGATAGGATGGCATGGTCATGCTCCCACTGCTGTCTTCCTCTAGCGTTCACCGATGCTGGTCGTCGCACCGCTGCATCGTCACCCCGACGCGTTCGTGTCGAAAGGGTTGTCAACCTCAGCGTGCCCACGAGACAACTTCTACGCCCGGATGTCGGCCAGCAGCACTGAGCACGATGTTCGAACTTCGGCACCCGGCAGCAATGCGAGGAGAAAACTTCCACTGATTCCGACAAACGCCTTGCCGGCCTTGCCCTTGCCTGCTTCCCTCCGCGAACGCACGTTCCGTTGCTTTGACTTCCCCGGGCACGCGTTTTTAGCGCAACCCTTTCCCCCTTTCCACCGAGCACGCCCCGCCCCGCCCGCCACGCCACGCCACGCCCGCCGCGCTCGCGACCCACGCTCACAACTCGTCAAAGAAACAATCCCGAAAACAAGTCGGCAAACAATAAAACAAAGCCTGTGACGATTCGCCAAGCCGTTTTGTCTCCCTGCGCCTCCTCCTCCTTCAAGTTCTCCCCCATCCTCTCCGCTTTCGCGACTCGCTGCCTCTCCCCCTCCCCTCCCCTCCCCCAAGCCGCGGTGGCGCCGAAAGTGAACAGGCATCGGAGCGGAGGCAGCGGGGCTGTATTGAGAAATCAATCGGCCAGGGAATTACCGCGGCATCGCTCTGTCTCTCTCGCATCCCCGCGGGGCCCGGCAATCGCCACGGGTGCGAGAGAGACAGAGCGCCGAGTCGGGGGAAGGCCGGCAACCCGGCGTTGTCAGTGTAGTCACACTCGGCGGGAGTTTCAGCGGTGCAACAGTGGCCAACCTGAGTCGGCAGGGCGCTTCTCTCGGACAATTTTCGGACATTGCCCAGCAGGCAGGCTGAGGTTGGCAACCCTGGCGGGCCTCTTTTGTGGCAATACTGAGAATTGCGAACGCGTTTCGGCGGGCAAGAAACGCAAACTCGTTTGCGAGTGTGTGTGTTGCGCAATGGCAAACGGCATGCAGTCAAAGCGACGCGACAAAGGCATAGTAGAATCCGACCGCAACGCGACCGGAACATCCGCCAAATATGTAAATAGGAAAACGGCGGGAGCGGACCGGCAATGCAAAACAAAACAAACCAAAAAAACGGTGAAAAGCGAGCAGAGAATGCAGCGGCATGACATGCAGTGGGATTGCCGAATTGCTCCCTTTGGACTGCAGGCGGCTGCAAGCGAGTGGCCCCACACCACACCGACTGTTGCCCCTCCCTTTTTTTCTGCACTGAATCGGGACTGATATTCGGCCGGCAAAGCCCTTCTGGATTACGGTGATCTGCAGCGACCCACGCCAGTAAACACGCCGCAAAGCCCCGCCGTCCCGCGCTCTGCAGTCTGTCTGTCCGTCCGTCTATCTGGCTGTTTGGCTGTCCGAGCGACCAACCGAGTCGGATTCGAACCCCGTTTCTTGTCGGGGAGGTGGACAACTCAACCATCTGAGCCAGCAAGCCATTCCGAGCACATATGTCCTCCAAACGCAACCTCAAATGGCGCAGTATTTTTGACTTAAGTGGTTTCGTGTGTCTTGATTTTACTGTTCCAAATGTTTCCAGGAGGAGAATAAAACGAGAGAGCTGTTTTTATTCACTACTTTATTGGTCATGATGAAAGGGGTTGAAACTACGGCTACTTCTACTGCTACAGATTAAACATTGGTACATACCACGATAACACGTATACACACAGTTGGTTATATCACATACACAGCGAGAAGTTTTTTTTTGTTTAGTTTTTTTATCTTTTTTTGCAGGTTAGTGCCCCCAGTCACGCTCGTCTTAAGAGCCACGACGCCGGGGGCGTTTTAGGTAATGAATCAAAAGGGTTAGCGTTGAGACCCACCTGCGAGAAGTTGAACTACTAAATTAGATAATAATACTGGCAATACTGCAGCACTATCACATACACAACGAGAAGTTGAAATACTTAATCAGACATTAATACTGGACACACAGGTACGACAATGGAATGAGTAGACAATAATACTGGACACATAGGGACAACAATAGAATGACTAGACACAGCAAGAAGTAAAAGTACTTAATCAGACAATAAAACTGGACACACAGGGACAACAATAGAATCACTAGACACAGCAAGAAGTAAAAGTATACAGATAATAATACTGGTCAAACAGGGATGGCAATAGAATGACTAGACACAGCAAGAAGTAAAAGTACTTAATCAGACAATAATACTGGACACACAGGGAAGATGTTGAAATGACTAGATACGTATGCTTTCAGGTACGCAACCAAAAAGTACATAAAAACTAATCACACAGACATGCAAATGACTGGGAAGACCCCCCGCCCCTTTTTTACCCTCCCCACCCCACCCTCGCCCAAAGTCCTGGGACCTAGGTTCACACTAACAAGAGAGAGGAAAGATCAACTTGGCGAGCATTAACTATGAAACATTTAAAAGTGAGGTCAGCAGGTGACCGCCGCGTTCACCAGACGTTCACCACGCGCACTCCAGAACTTAAGCAGACAATAATATTGGATACACAGGGACGACAAGGAAATGGTTATGCTTTCAGGTACGCAACAAAAAATACGTATAATTAATCACATAGACATGCAAAAGACTGGGAAGAGAGACCCCACCCCCTCCCCCTACCCACCCCCGCCCCCGCCCAAAGTCATACGTGCACACCACATAGAGGGGACACAGAGGACAGGACGATGGGGAAAGCACTCGCGTTAAAAGTCGGGTCACTCTGGTCCGTAATAGCACGCGTAATAGTAGCGTATAGCCGATTCTCCAAATTGATCCATTTTAGGGGTTTTTGGGTCTGTTTCAGCTCAACCTGATTTTGAGGCGTAATAGAGCGTCATAGACGTAATAGTCGGGTCGCAGGTTTTAAGAGTGATTTCCCCCTCGGGACAGGATCAATTTGGCGAGCATTGACGTTGAAAAGTGGGTCATTGGCTCAGCAGGTATTCACCGGTGTTCCAGGCATTCACCGTGTTCACCAGGCGTTCACCAGTGGTACACGACGCGGTCGTTGGGGCCGACGAGCTGCCGCCAGCCGTCGTTGTCGGGGTCGCCTCCGTGCATGACCTGCTCGGGGTGGCCCTGGGTGCAGGCGAACGTGATCTCCAGGGCGCGGTTGACGCGCTTCAGCTTGGTGGCCTCCTCCTCGCAGGCGGCCAGCGTGCGGTCGTAGGTGGCGTCGTCTGCCTCGCGCATGCCGTACCACACCAGCTGCACGCTGATGTCGATGCGGCGCAGGGTGGGCGAGAAGCCCTCGAAGGTCTGGAGCAGCTCCCGGATGTACTTGGCGAGCCGCCGGCTGTTGTGCCAGTCCGTGGTGCCCACGCTCAGCTCCACCGCCTCCAGGCGCGGGCAGTTCTTGGCCTCCTTCAGGCACTCCTGCTGCAGGCGCATGATGCCCGTCCTCTCCCCCGTGCACCCGACGGGCACCAGCTTGATGCAGCGCAGCTTCTTGCTGCCGCGAATCAGGTCCGTCGACATGACCTGGTCCAGGATGCCTCCCAACCCGCACTCGGACACCTTGAGCTTCTTGAGGCACGGCAGGCCCTGGGCCAGCTCGCCGTGGTAGGGGAGCTCCGATCTGCCACGCACCACCAGCTCCTCCAGCTTCTTGAGGCTCAGCAGCACCTCCAGCGCATTCCTGGAGGCAGAGGGGCACAGCGATTAGTCAGTGCTGCCACCACGCCGAGGCACAGTGGGCCAGAAGACCGGCGGAGCGGCCAAAATTCTAGACGCGTTTTGAGCTCCAGAGTCGCTAAATGGGACTCGAACCGAACGTGTGACGCTACCAATGGATTCCTCGTTCGGAGAATCCATTGGTGGGGTCACACGTTCGGTTCGAGTCCCATTTCGCGACTCTGGAGCTCAAAACGCGTCTTTCGGCCGGCGGCATGATGCCGGTCTTCTGATCCACTGTGCGCCGCGGACTCGGCCCTCTAGGTTGGCGTACCTGCCCCCGCTGTCGACTACGCGCTCGTGCCCGTAGTTGTCCAGCTCCACCTCGGCCACGCGGATCACGTGGCGACTGCGGTACAGCATGTCCAGCAGGATGGGCAGGCGCTCCGGCCGGACGAACTCGTACTTGTGGTGGTACGGCTGGCGGTACTCCTCCACCACGACGCCGCTGCTGGCCACCGCCGCGAACATCTCGGGGCTGCGCAGCAAGTCGCCGGACAGGTACTGCACGTAGGGCGCGCGCTGCAGGATGTTCACCAGCTCCCACTTGGCGTCCTCGTCGTCCTCGGCGGCGTACTCCTCGAGGCGCACCTGCGCCCACGTCTCGGGCTCGCGGTGCACGGCGTGCCAGCGCTTGCACACCAGCGGCACCACCGTGAGCAGCTCGAAGGGGTCCTTCACCTGGGCCAGGATGCGCATCAGCAGCTCGTCGGGGAGGTCGTCCAGGGTCAGCCCCGCGTCCTCCATCTGCAACACAGTGGCCAGGGCAGTCAGCAACGCGGCAAGGGCCCACGGTGGAGGCCCTCCAGACGCGTTTTGAGCTCCAGAGTCGCTGAATGGGACTCGAACCGAACGTGTGACCCCGCCAATGGATTCCTCGTTCGGAGAGCAATCCGTTGGTGGGGTCACTCGTTCGGTTCGAGTCCCATTTAGCGACTGTGGAGCTCAAAACGCGTTTAGAAAAATGGCCGCCTCCACCGGTCTTCTGACCCACTGCGCGGCTGCTCCTTCAAATCGCAAGCAGTGCAGCCACCTCGGTGCGAAAAAAAATTCCCACGATGCCGAGCCTGCCAATTACGCATGCTGAGGTTGGCAACCCTTCCGACACTGGTGCATCGTGGGAATTTTTTCCTACCATTGTGGCGACACCGGGTTGGTGTTTTCCGTTTTTTTTTCTCAGTGTAGCGGAAGACTTGGCGCCTCTGCTACCGCGCTACCGCTCGCGCCGCGCTACCGCGCCTGTAACGAACGCGTGGAGGCGGGGCGGGGCGGAGCGAGGCGGGTCGTGCCTCTGGATTTAGGAGGGAAAGTTGGGGCGGACGACAAGCTGTCACCAACTCCCACCGCGCGTGGCGGGGCGGGGCGGGGCGGGGCGGGGCGGGGCGGGGCGGAACGCCCTCGAGCACACACATGTCCCTCAGGAAGAAGCCGAAAGGGGCATAAACTATAAATCAAAACGCGCGCGCAATTGGAGACGCTGGACGGGACGGCACAGCTCTTGCTGGCTGTAAGAATGAAAACAATTCTCGCCCTCAATTTATTTATCGACACTTTGTCTCCTTTTTTGGATTGAGGCGGAGGAGGAGGCCTATGGGTTTCGGTTTACGAGGAGGGTGTGACCAGGAAAAAATGGATCTCTCGTGTGTGTGTGTGTGTGTGTGTGTGTGTGTGTGTGTGTGTGTGTGTGTGTGTGTGTGTTGTGTGTGTGTCTTCGTGGTTCTCCCGAGGAGTCGTGTGTGTGAGGACGACAAGGAAGATAGCAAGGCGGAGGAAAGGGAAGGGACACGTGAAAACTGGCGGGACAAGTCAAGTGGAGTGCTTTTAATGAGTTGAGACTTGCGAGTCCTCCAGTGTGCTGCACACTACACCGGGCGCGCAGGGCGCTACGACTACCCGCTGCAGGCTCTGCAGCGTCGCGGAGGCATCAATGTTGCAGTCCGGGCTGCACGACGTTGGCGCACAGTGGGCCAGAAGACCGCTGGAGGCGGCCAAAATCCGGGGCGCGTTTTGAGCTCCAGAGTCGCTAAATGGGACTCGAACCGGACGTGTGACCCCACCAATGGATTGCTCTCCGAACGAGGAATCCATTGGTGGGGTCACACGCTCTGTTCGAGTCCCATTTAGTGACTCTGGAGCTCAAAACGCGTCTAGAGTTTTGGCCGCCTGCACAGGCCTTCTGGCCCACTGTGCAGTGAAACGCCGCCGAGCCCCTGCCACGCGGCCGATGCTGGCCCGTCGAGCCGGCACGCCGGACGGGCTGCCTACCCTGCTGCCACACTGCTGCCTACCCGCCAGGCGCTGACGGCTGACTCTCATCGGGCCATCCCATTACATGCAGGGCAGTGCCGGGGCACACAGAACTCGTACAGCTTCAGGTCATGTGAAGGTGCCCCCATGGGCTGCCATAGGCTGCCACTCTTTCTCTCTCTCACCGCGCGGGGCAGCCGAGCCAGGTCGGCCGAGCCGGGGCTCAAGGCAATAAGCGGGGCTTCCTCATCCTAGGAGACTGATTCCGAGAGCCGCTTTCGTCGCTCTGTCTCTCTCGCACTCATGGGGCGCCCTCTGTGGGTGCGAGGGAGACGGAGCGACGGAAACGACTCTCGGAATCAGTCTCCTGGGAAAGAAGGCCTTTCTGCAACACAGCGAACCCACAAAAAAAGAGGTCCCCTGGCCTGACCCGCGCCCGAGCGTCCCGCCAAGGACGACATGATCCTCAAAAATTGGGCCAAATTTTTGACGTTGCAACGCAAGAAGCTGATAATCCAGTGTCGAATGGATTGCGCTCCGAACGAGCAATCCGTTGGTGGGGTCACACGTTCGGTTCGAGTCCCATTTAGCGACTCTGGAGCTCAAAACGCGTCTAGAGTTTCGGCCGCCTCCACCGGTCTTCTGGCGAATCCACTGTGCGCCGGCGAGGAAGCAGGGAGCAAGGCGGTGACGCTGCGATGATAACATTCCGCCGCGACCGTGGCCGGCAGAGGGCGCTGCCGCTGGCTGCTGCCTACACTGCCGACGTGACGTAATTTATGGAGCGGCCCTGGAATGGGGCAAATGGAGCCGAAGGAGGGAAGCGGCAAAGCGGCCGGGCAGGGCGTGGCACGGCACGGCTCGGCGTGGCACGACACGGCAAGGCACGTCCGCACGACTCGGTCCGCGACATTTGCCTGCGATAATAAAAAAGAATCGTGGCTGCTCTGGTGAAGTCGTGCGGCAGCCCGAAGGCGCCCCGAAGGCGTCCCGAAGGCGTCCCGAAGGCGTCCCGAGGCGGAAGGGGTTATGCCACCGTCCCCAAGTCGCAACGCCAACGCCATTGCTTGCGGACTCAAATTGATCCGAGAGGAGCGGAGCCAAGCGGAACGCTCCGAGATATCTCAGCGGTGGCGGGGTGCTTCGGGTGCAGCAAGCCAAGCGCGCAAAATATTTACATTTTCTGAGCATAACAGTACTGAGTTCAAGACGATGCCGTTCTTTCCGGTAAAGATACTGCGACGGGCGAGTATATGGAGTTGTATCGCCCACGTGTCGTTTGGCTTGTACGCGTGGTAAGGGTAAGTGTGAGTTACCTCGATGCCTTCCCCACAGGCTAATGCCGAAATTCCGCACAGTGGGCCAGAAGACCGGTGGAGGCGGTCAAAACCCCGGACGCGTTTTGAGCTCCAGAGTCGCTAAATGGGACTCGAACCGAACGTGTGACCCCATCAATGGACTGCTCTCCGAACGAGGAATCCATTGGTGGGGTCACACGTTCGGTTCGAGTCCTGTTAAGCGACGCTGAGCTCAAAACGCGTCTACTGTTTCGGCCGCCTGCGCCGGTCTTCTGGCCCACTGTGCGGAGGCAGGGGCAAGGAATGCGCGAGGAACCGCCAAGAACATGGCCGCGGTGGCGGCGGCGAAGGCCTTCAAGCACCCCTTCCCAATCCAATCAATGCCTCGGCGAGGCCTGGATGGCCTGCCTCTTGGTTAGGCCGATTCAAAGATGGCGCGCCGGATCATTTTCAGGGTCTGCGCTTTCCCCAAATTAAAAAGTCCCCCTCCCCCTGCCCGGGCTAGGCTGCAAAACGAATAAAGCGCCCGGAGGCCGGAGGGGAGGCCGGGGCAAAAGGCTCGACAAAAGGAATCTGCAACAGATGCCGACTCCGGAAAGGATTGTTCGATGCGGAGCCCGGAGAGCGGAAGGTTTCGCGGCCGAGCGCGCCGACCGAGACGGCCTGCCGCCTCGACAGTGAGAGAGAGAGAGAGAGAGAGAGAGAGAGAGAGAGAGAGAGAGAGAGAGACGATGAGTGGAATGGACTGAGGATGTGGGTCGTCCAGCCGCCCCACAGTGGGCCGAAGACCGGTGGAGGCGGCCAAAACTCCGGACGCGCTTTGAGCTCCGAGTCGCTAAATGGGACTCGAACAGAGCGTGTGACCCCACCAATGGATTCCTCGTTCGGAGAGCAATCCATTGCTGGGGTCACACGTTCGGTTCGAGTCCCATTTAGCGACTCTGGAGCTCAAAACGCGTTCGGTACTTCAGCCGCCTCCACCGGTCTTCTGGCCCACTGCGCGCCCACCCCAAGGCCCGGCCGTGGAGATACTCCACGCCAGAGAGACCGCACGGGGGCTGACTGGCACGCCACTGCTTTCGAAACTGCAACAACTGGACGCCAGACGCAGGCGCCCGATGACCGGGCGATGCAGTCCCGTCGAGCAGGCGAGTGGCGTGGGTTGCCTACACTGGCGCCGCGGGCGCTTCCAACGCGCCCGGTCGCAGGAGTCTCTTTGCGACGAAAACGACTCTCGGAATGAGTCTGCAGTGTAGCAGCGCGCGGACAACGCAGGGCGCCGACTGACAGCGCCTTGACGTGTGTATCGGGAGGAGGCCGTGCCGCCCGCCTCGCCCCGCCTCGCCCTGCTCGACAACAAGGCCCTCGCCGACAGTGCCGCCGTCGCTCCGTCTCGCTCGCACCCGCAGGGCGTCCCGGAGTCCCGGAGCGGTGCGAGAGAGACGGCACGGCGATGAAGCAGCCTCGCCGACACGGCGCTTATTAGAAGGCGGTGGCAAGCCGAGCGGGGAGCAGAGGGCGCGGCAGCAAGGCGGTGAGCCGAGCGGCGGGCAAGGTGGCGGCGGCCGTGGGCTGCAGGCTGCTTCCGGGGCTCTCCCTCTCTCTCGCACTCGCGGGGCGTTCCGCAGGGTGCGAGAGAGACAGCGACGGGTCACAGTGGGCCAGAAGACCGGTGGAGGCGGCCAAAACTCTGGACGCGCTTTGAGCTCCAGAGTCGCTGAACAGGACTCGAACCGAACGTGTGACCCCACCAATGGATTCCTTGTTGGAAGAGCAATCCATTGGTGGGGTCACACGCTCGGTTCGAGGCCTGTTCAGCGACTCTGGAGCTCAAAACGCGTCTAGAGTTTTGGCCGCCTCCACCGGTCTTCTGGCCCACTGTGCGGGTGCGCGCCTCGCAATGAGCCCCGGCTGCCTGCAGGGCAGTGAAGCGGCAAGGAGGGGAGCCTTACCAGCCCGGGCTGCAGGCCGACTCCGAGAGTAGTCGCTCTGTCTCTCTCGCACCCACACGGGACGCCCCGCGAGTGCGAGAGAGAGGGCGCGCACTCGGACGCAGCCGGCTGGCGCGCCGCCTCGCGCGCGGAGTCATTCGAGACCGTGTTATAGGTGTAGAGCAGTAATGAAAAGGTGAAAGAAGAGAGGGGAGGGTCGCCAGGGCCATGCCCAGGGCCGTGCCCAGGACGCCGCCGTCGTGAGGCCGTG